ATCAGGGTTCCTCAAATCTTGCCCTGGAGGGCCAATGCGCTGCAGAGTTTAGCTCCAACCCTGATCAAACTGACTTACCTGTGATTTTCTAATGATCCTGAAGACATTGATTAGCATGCTCAGGTGTGTTTGATTAGGGTTAGAGCTAAACTCTGCAGGAAAGTGGATCCCGTGGGCCAGATTTGAGGATCCCTGGTGTAGGGGTTATGGAGCGGAAGTAACAAAAGTTCAAAGTTGAGATTAAATAATTTAACGACGAGAAATCTCCTTTTCCTCTATCCCAGATAGTGTCACTTTCACCACTGATATTTCTAATAAAGGTTCACACAAAACCCTCCGTTTAACACCATAAAACAGAAGCCAAATACCAGAAATATACTTGCGTTTTTATTAAGGGCTTAAAAAAACCCAAGAGAATATATACAGAAAATACACAAATATCATGGCAATCAATCAACTTAACCAAGGCGTCTGGAGAGAGCAAATGTCAAAATAACAAACAAATCAGTCTTTCTAAAAGTTATAACAAAACAACTTCCCTGGCAAAATAAAACAAAATTAAAGACAATAATCTTACCTATCTCCCCGACTAAAAGAAAAACAGGTGAATAACTTAGAAGGGGATAAGCCCAAATAAAACGGCACCCACCTCCCTACACGGTTTGACAGAACTAGACACAGAATCTTAACAGCAACGTCGTTGTAACCACACTTTAAGTTTACATTTCACAAGTTGCTTAACAGCAAACAAAACAACAACGTCTCTAAAGGGACTCCTCCTGAGCTGTGTCGCTCTGCTGCTTTATATCGGTTGCACGCTGCCGCTAATTGCAATCAGCTGCGGATGATTTGGAGCGCTGTTTGGCAGAGAGAGAGAGAGAAAGAGAGAAAGGAGGAGAGAAAAACATGTGACCATATCCCAACATACACAATTACGTCACGGGACGTAACAAATGAGAAAAGAAAACGTGTCACAGATAAACTCATGTTAACAACTTTTAACAACTCATAGTAAAAAAGCCTCCCAGATACTTTAGCACAAATTAAGTGTTTATGAAGTCAAAGATCAGCTGAAGATTCGCAATCACAAGTCATAAAACAGTAAATTGCTCACTTCTCTATTCTAAAAAATGAAATTCTAAAGAATTAACAACTGTAGACCTTGAGTCAATGCCATTGCCATGTCTTCTATCAATGTTCAAATAAGTAAAAATGAAGGCTATAAGTAAAAAAAAAGGCCTTTACAGGTATTTTGCCAAATTGGGAACAAAATAGCAGAAAGAAGCAGTTCTAGACAGAACTGGCACATTCTCTTTTTTGCTAGATCTTTTTACACATATAAGACTAGGAAATGGTGACTGTAAACTGTTTATTCCCACTGGACCACAAGCTTACACACTTTACAAAAGTGAAATATATTCGTGCAAGCATGTTTCTGATTTATTAAAAATAAGTAACATACATTTAAAAAAAAAATCATACATAAATTTAAAAAAAAAAAAATCATACACAAAAACATTTACTGGTGCTAATTTTCATATAGTGCAGCCTTGATTCATCAACAGAAGTTTTCATTTAATTTAAAAATAAAATAAAATAAAGGAACAAATGCTGAAACCTCTATCATCAGGAGCATCACAAGACATGCTTGGTGATGTAGCTGTTGTCATATTAACATCACCATCATCAATATTATCTTTTCATCTCACTTTTCTATGCTTTTATTGTTTTCACATTTACATTTATGCATTTGGCAGACACTTTTACCCAAAGCAACCTCCACTGCATTCAAGGCATACAGTATATTTTGACAGCTCACTATAATTACGTTTTTCCTTCATTTATTTTGTCCCTGCTGTCCACACACTTTGCTGCTTATTACGTGTAGCATGACTGAATTTTTAACTTTTGCTATGTACCTCACCTGACAGAAACTTATTGGGGCCCCAGACAAACTGTTCTTGGGGCTTAAAATGCTTAAAGGTAAATCTAACCAGCTCTCGTCTCTCTGACTTGTCCAAAACAGCAAACATAAAGTAATCTAGTATACTTTGTTTAAGACTTTGAAGGTGTCCCACCACAAGAGTTTCATGGAGGAAGAACTTGACCAGTGGGGCCTGGTAGTGCTTCAATCCTAGAGTCCCCAAACACTTCAAGATGCGTGTGATGCGAAGGTTGTTGTGTGAATATCTGCTAAATCAAAGAAAAAAACTCTAACCACTGGAAATGCCTAAAAGCATATGAAATTCAACAAAAAGGAAAAACATGACAACACAAACCTGTTCAGGTTTTTAAAGCGTCCTTCCAGTTAGGAGCCCGTTCCACATCTCCTGTTGATTCATCAACTGAACATATACCGTAGAAATCCAACATGAGCTTATATGATTTCACCAATTTACTCTTTGCTTGTTTATCTTTACGGAAACATTGGGGAAAAAATGGAGCAGATGAATTTAAACTTTGTCTGTGTTTCTAAACGCCTTAACCTGCTTCTGAACTGAGACCAAAATATGATCAGTCCTGTCAGATAAATACTTCATAAAAAGGTTAACCCAAAAATGTATATTCTGTAATCATTTATCACCCTAATGTCAAGCCAAAAATGTACAGAACTAACCCATAATTGGATCTATCCAAGTATTTTGAAGAGACATGATTGCTTTATATGAACAAATATAATGTAGGCTTTTATTCACATATAAACATTGATCAGTGCACATACTCTGCATATAACCACATCATATATAAACAACAAGAGGGTGATTAAATGAAATGTTCCCTTAAAAAAATCACTTTTTGGATGAACATCCCTTTAGGTTAGTTGATAAATAAAGCAAAAAATTACATGTTTTAAACTGACCTTTATTTCCTTTTTTGTGAGCTCATGTGCTCTCAAGTTTCTTCCTTTTTCTTGTAATGGAAACAGCCTGCAAAGATTTGAAATGGTTAGTTGAATGATGGCCATTCAAAACACTTATATATAATAATTAATACAGATTTAACCACTGCTCATGGATGTTGCAACAGGCTCTAACCAATGAATGTAGGTCAAAACTATTTCCAGCTTCTCATATTCACCCCACCACTGCTGGTGAAATTCATCAATGTAAACATCTGCACAAACAAAGGTAATATGTTTAAGAACATGCTTTCTTTGAATGTAACTTGTATAGGATAAATAAAAATAAATAGTGTGATTTAACTATAGAACGAGCGCCAAGGCCATACCGTCAGGTGAAGATTTTATTCGACCATAGTAAAATTCCAGGTTATAGAAGCGGCCCTTGTGAACAAATTAAAATAAAAATACTTTACAACCCAATTCCCAATCATCTTCTCCAAATCAAGACTACATAGTGGGCTGTGAAACCAAATAAAGTTTTGTGTAAATGATACACTAAACATACTGTACAATGACATGCTAGAGGAGGCAAATTCTGAGTGTAATAGTAGAAACAGGCGATGGATTACTTACTTCACGTGGTTCATCATCATCGTCATCATCATCATCAAAGTTCTAGACAAAACAAATGCAATACAAAATTAGCATGTAAGACTGAGTTTTGACATAAATTAGTAGACAGTAGGTTTTGACCTTATTTAGACATTTACTTTTGTATTTAGATTCTCACCTGCATTCTTTCTCATAAAAATATGTCAATGGATGAATGTGGGTTGGCATGTTTATTTTAAATGGAGGAGTGGGGTAAGATGTGCCAATACCAGTGTGTAAGCAGTCACATTCATGTTTAGAAGTTTTTCTAAAAAAAAAAAAAAAGTCTTATTACCCTGGCTGGCTGTATACTTTATATGCTAATTTAAGAGTTAGGGGATCAGATATCTTCATTAAAAATGCGGCACAGCTGTACCCAACTCTTCCTTGTTTAAAGGTAAATAAACCTACTCTGCAACTATGTCGAAAGTCTTGCATCTCCTTTGCAGCATTCATGTTCCTGCAACTTCTCCTGTGCAACACCTGTAAATCAAAAAATAATATTTTAGTAGTTTTTGTAACTAGTGTGCATGATTGAATCAAATTTAAAACAATGTGTAAAAACATCTTAGAACAACTTAATTTTTGAGTATTCAGCTTAATAATTGTTAGTTTTAACACAATTTTTTAAGTATATATAGCACAATATAGTTTATTAGTTGAACTTCATTTCAGAAGAAGTTGCCGTAACTCAAAAAAATTGATGCAAACTGTTGCGTTAATTTTTTTTATAATTATTTTTTAGAGTGTACACAGAAATCCCAAATGAGACTGTTGTTTGTAAAATCTTTTCATATTCATAGATATTCGAAGAAATAGAAAGTGGAAAGAATGGGAATTATTATAAAACAGTGTTTCTAAAAACAGGTAGGGTTTATTCAACAACAACAACAATAATAATAATAATAATGGTCTTCAATCAAAAAAGGTAGATGAGGACGGCGTAGATCACGTGGTATCTGTTATAAACACTGTTGGTAAGGTTACGTTGGAAATGTAATAGGTTACAGATTACAAGTTACCCTATTTAAAATGTAATAAGTAGTGTAAATATTTAAATTACTTCATTAAACTAGTGTAAATAATTATAATTGAATACTTTTTGATTACTTCTAAATTTCTAATAAATGTTTTCAACTATTAATCATTTTCAAACATTTAAACCAGGCAGGGTTAACCGTAGTACTCAACACTGATTACTGTCAGACTTTCAAAATCCTTCATCACTTGAATTAAGATTATAGCAATTTAATGTGTCCTATTCTGTGTCATAAACTCCTGAAACATTGGTGTTTTATTATGTTGGTGTTTTATTGGTTATTTTAGAACAGTCAATGCAATTTGGGAAAGAAATCAATTAAATCTTTGTGTGTGTGTGTGTGTGTGTGTGTGTCAGAGAGAGAGAGAGAGAGAGAGAGAGAGAGAGAGAGAGAGAATAGGCCCATTGATGTAACCCCCTTTGTAATCGTTAACATATTCATAAGTAGCCTAACATTTTAATTACACATTTTTTTCTCAGTAATTGTAACAGATTACAGTTACATTTATTTTAGAACAACTTAATTTTTGAGTATTCAGCTTAATAATTGTTAGTTTTAACACAATTTTCTAAGTATATATAGCACAATATAGTTTATTAGTTGAACTTAATTTCAGAAGAAGTTGCCTTAACTCAAAAAAATTGATGCAAACTGTTGCGTTAATTTTTTTTATAATTATTTTTTAGAGTGTACACAGAAATCCCAAATGAGACTGTTGTTTGTAAAATCTTTTCATATTCATAGATATTCGAAGAAATAGAAAGTGGAAAGAATGGGAATTATTATAAAACAGTGTTTCTAAAAACAGGTAGGGTTTATTCAACAACAACAACAACAACAACAATAATAATAATAATAATGGTCTTCAATCAAAAAAGGTAGATGAGGACGGCGTAGATCACGTGGTATCTGTTATAAACACTGTTGGTGCCCATTGATGTAACCCCCTTTGTAATCGTTAACATATTCATAAGTAGCCTAACATTTTAATTACACATTTTTTTCTCAGTAATTGTAACAGATTACAGTTACATTTATTTTGTAATTAAATTACGTAACTCCATTACAACACCGCTATACAAGTGCGTTAGCTAGTAGGCAAGTATAGTTCATAAATAAAATCAAAAATAGAACCGTAGTTAAACATGACTACTTTACTTAGAAATGCAAGGTTGCTACTGATGTGTGCACAACTGCGCGCTGTTTTAGGATTAATTAAAACAACAAAAGAGACTACCAGGAAATGAAAATCAATTACATAGCACTGAAATCCAAGCATACCTTCTTTCTGGGTGTTTTATGTTCGTATTCGTCTTCCCATGTGGAGTCCAATTCGCACTCATCATCTGGATCCATGTCAAGTATATTATTATAATTATGCAAACGCTGGGGCCTGATTCACGAAAATCTTTAACGAAATCTTTCACGAAAAGGAAGAAGTTAAGACATTTCTTAAGATAAATCCAGGAAGTTCGTAAGTGCAATTCCTATTAAAGTTCTGAAATATTTTCATAAGAACTTCACTCTTATTTTTCTCAAGAAGAAAATGGCAGACGTTGGCGTTATCTGTAGGACGGTTCTTGCTGAATACGTTCAGCTTTGCGCTGCTTGCAGTTAACTGCAGTTTTTATTTTGTGAACCCGGCCCCTGGTTAAGACAACGCCAAGGTCGGATATATATTTAAAAAATGTAAAGCAGACACAAGAATGTAGACTCTATGAATTGCTCAACCACTCCCACTGTCAAGAGAAAATTAAGGCTGAAGGTCATGGTGAAACGAAAGTATTTCTAGTAAAGTACAAGTAGGGTATAACAAATTCCCGTTTATTCAAGGGTTGCCATGTCTGACAATAATATTCAGACTTCGTCAAAAAACGAAGGTTAAATAGGATCAAAGGCCTAAACGAAACTGACACATATATTTGCTTTTTGCAGGATCAAACTTAGATAATAATATTTATTATCTTTAATAATAAACCGTTTTTCCCATATAAAACAGACTAACAGATATAGTAAATATAATATGGTGATATAGTAAAATATAATAAATAATATAGTAAAAATATTCAGGCTTGGTGGTCTATTCTTGATTTTAATATAGCCTACTGGGTTAAAAAAGTAAAACAAAATGACAAGAGAAGGTAACTTTCAATTGTTTATTCCCACTGAAACACATGAGTACATAATTTACAAAAGTTTACACAATTTAAGGAGATTTTATAAAGACAGTTTACCGTCATGTAATGCGTGTGTGTGTGTGTGTGTGTGTTCTTTCTGACCAGTTCTCGGTCAGTTCTTCTGAAATTTGCCGTAAATGTAACGGGCAGTCTTTGGTCTCATTAATCTATTATTTGTTCCATAGCAAATAGTTTTGGCTGAGGGCAAAGTCTCATAATGTTTTATTTTATATAACTTTAATGCTGTTTATCAGAGCGCTGCCTTTGTACTTTTGACTGAATTGCCAAGCAACTTTTATTAGAAAGTCTCTTGTCCAGTCAGATTAGAAAATCAGATTACAACTAGGCTAACTGTTAACTGGGGACATGTCCCCCCCCACTTTTCAAAATCACGTTTGTGTCCCCCCCACTTTAAAATTCGTTTATGATTTTTTTAACCGCACGCCGTCATCGCCACGGAGGAGCAGGACCGAGCAGGACACAGACGCGCGCGTCCAGGAACGTCGGTGCAAACTCTAAAAATAGCTCACTGAAAGTTCTAATGAGCAGGTATCCCGGTTGAAACGCCAGAAGCAGCAACAGATGACTTTAATGTCATCATGGATGAAAAGAAAGAAAGGAGATGTGAGTTGGTTGATTCAGTAATTGGCTCAGGTCAGGATAATCATATTTTCTGTCTACACCTGTCGATGTTAGCCTAACGTTGACTGAGCTAACGTTAACATACACTGTTGCTAGGTAACTTCAGACTGTTGTTAGCTAAATATTTAATGTAGAACAGTTGTTCGGTGTTTCGTGAACGAATCGTTCGTGAAAGTCATTGATTCAATGATTCATTAATAAATACAGCCACTTGCTTCATTACTGAATGAACGAACGACTCGATGACTCACGCATTAAGACAGTGACTTACCGCCACCTACTGGCGGTTGTAGTATTTAAAAGAATCACTTTTCACTTTTTTAATCATCATTGCATATTGCAGGTACAGCAGTTAGTTTGAAATAAAAGTTTGTTTAACAGTGGAAATTGAGTCTCACATTATTTAAATTGTATTTACACACAAAACATTAATGGTGACCATTTTTGACTTTATAAAATGATTCCATCAAGTCTTGGTCGACAAGAGACAGTGGGTGCTTCTCAATTCTTATTTGTGCGTCCTCGTTTCCTTTCGGACGGAGGACCTGACCTGTTATATATAAACAGAGTAGATTTTTTTTTCAGGTTTCTTTGATGAATAGAAAGTTAGAAGAACAGCATTTATCCGAAATAGAAGTCTTTTGTAAAATAGGTTTGTTAAATCTAGTGTATTTGAGTCATTTTAAGATAAATAACATTCTGTGCTAACAAATTGAAACGAGGTGATGTTTTCAATAAGGTGGACAGAGTTGTACAGTAGACCTGCTGTTCAAGAAGTGACAGGTAAGAAAAAAAGGGAGAGACAGAGATATTGGGGAAAATGAAGAAAAGGGAAAGGGAAGTGAAGTGAAGGTGCAGTGCAAGAGAGAACCTTTAATTATTTGTGATGGTCATACAAATAATAGAGATGTCTGTGGTTTCAGAAATTGTTGTGGATGTATAGGCTATATAAAAAGGGGCCCAAATGGCACCTTTTGGGGTACAACAGTATTCATACACAAAACATTAATGGTGAACATTTTCGACTTTATAAAATGATTCTCTCAAGTCTTGGCGATTGGCCCATATTAAACAATAAAGAAAGTAAGACATCTTTTTCTTATACATAGTTTAGTAGCCTACTAGTCTTTTTTGGCAGAATTTATCATTATAATCAACTTAATTATTTCCTGGATTTTGTATCACCATAGTTCCTAAATGTATGTAAATGCAGGAATTGGGATTCAAATCGAAAACATTTTCCCCCATTTTGTGTCACCCCCCCCCTCTCAAACCAATGTTACACCCTTGTAAATAATAGTGGTATGAGAAAAAAAGGGAGAGACAGAGATATTGGGGAAAATGAAGAAAAGGGAAAGGGAAGTGAAGTGAAGGTGCAGTGCAAGAGAGAACCTTTAATTATTTGTGATGGTCATACAAATAATAGAGATGTCTGTGGTTTCAGAAATTGTTGTGGATGTATAGGCTATATAAAAAGGGGCCCAAATGGCACCTTTTGGGGTACAACAGCTTGTCACTGGTTGGTGATCGGCCCATATTAAACAATAAAGAAAGTAAGACATCTTTTTCTTATACATAGTTTAGTAGCCTACTAGTCTTTTTTGGCAGAATTTATCATTATAATCAACTTAATTATTTCCTGGATTTTGTATCACCATAGTTCCTAAATGTATGTAAATGCAGGAATTGGGATTCAAATCGAAAACATTTTCCCCCATTTTGTGTCACCCCCCCCCTCTCAAACCAATGTTACACCCTTGTAAATAATAGTGGTATGGTATTTAATAATAGTAGCATTGAGAAACGGTGTGTGTGTGTGTGTTCGTGATGGTGATTTTAGTTACATTATTCCGCCATTAGATGGCGACAAGAGACAGTGGGTGCTTCTCAATTCTTATTTGTGCGTCCTCTTTTCCTTTCGGACGGAGGACCTGACCTGTTATATATAAACAGAGTAGATTTTTTTTTTCAGGTTTCTTTGATGAACAGAAAGTTAGAAGAACAGCATTTATCCGAAATAGAAGTCTTTTGTAAAAGTATTAATGTCTTTATCATCACTTTTGATCAATTTAAAGCATCCTTGCTAAATAAAAGTAATAATTTCTATCTCTTTTTTTTCTGTGTGGCCTGGATGAGTGTGAGATTTCCCAGCCTGAAATTACATCCCAGTCTGGCCCTGCATATCGCACTGCTACTCATGTGATATTGTTCATATATATAAACAATATATACAAAAGATGTATTTTCTTAATTATCACTAATACAATTCATGGAAAGATGGCAGAATTTAAATGTATTGAACATATACTTAATAAAAACAGAGCTATATGTCATTAATATCTGTAAAATACGTAAATTAGCCAATTTTGTTTAAATTAAGGATTGCAGAAATTAGTACACCCTAGATTTAATTCAACAAATGTATAATATTCTTGTACCTACTTAGTGTGTTCTCCATCATTTTAAGTACACTGCTCTAACCCTCTTGGCACTGAGTTCTTGAGAAATTGTCACATCTGTCCAGTTTAACTCCTGGAGGATGACCTACTTAAATGCCCTGGTCACCTCATCTTTACAGAATCCCCCACAGGTGCTCAAGAGTGTTAAGATAGGGTGAAATACGTGTCCACTGAAAGGTTTACACCTCGGGAGAATGCATATCGTCATTGACATGTTGAAAAAATGCTCAGCAACGCAGGGAATGACTGAGGAGCATCTTCTGTTTCAAGTTTTTGTATTCCATCACACAGTGGTGTGTGAATTCATGCCAGCATTGATAAAGCACAACTCTCTCACACCTTCAGCACTCATTCATCCGTATATAAGAGCTTTAATACCACTGAACTTCACTTTGGGAACCAGGCACTTCTCACTGTACTCCTCCTCTTGCAATACAAAAAAATTTTGGATGCTGTTAGATCCGAAATGATTGACTTGGTCTCATGAGACCAAAGTATGGATTCCCAGAAATCTATATTTTGTAAATATGGGCCTTGGAAAAGGTTACGTGAGTGAGTCAAGTGTGAATGTGAGTTGAACGTGAATTCTCTGCGTTGATTGATATGAGCTGCAAAATTGGAAGTGACCTGAGCGAGCACTGCTTCTCGCAACGATATATTATTGACAGGGACTCTTTGTCCACAAATCATTGTTGAAGTTGTGCTAATGTGAAGTTGTGCTAATGTGACACAACAAGAGTTTACACAAGATCTGCCTTCCCCACTGGAAGGAGTAAGATATCAAGAAGGGGATCAAGCATCCACGTCACAGCTGGCTATATTTCACCCTTTATTCATCTCGGAATGTCTTTACAAAGCTAAGCTAAGCTAAGTTTCTTCTTTTATTCTCAGTGCTTAAAGCTATCAGGTTATTGGCAAATATTGCTTGTTGTTTAAAGGCTAGTTGTTCAGTAACATGTTTGTTGCTATGCATGCTTGTTGCTTTAGGCTTATTGGTTGTATTTCGACACACTGGTACCCAGTTAAACTTACCACAGTAGAGGCTTGTTTTTTAAGCTGTTGTTTAAGGCTGATTTAT